TGTGTGTGTGTGTGTGTGTGTGTGTGTGTGTGTGTGTGTGTGTGTGTGTGTCAAAAAGAAAAAGTTACTTAACCAATGAAAATGTGCTTTCTGTTAAACGTATCATTCAGGGTTTTTTATGTTATCACTTCTAAAATGTTGCCAGTAAATTGTTTGCAACCTTGTCCTATATCATTTCATTAACATGTCTACTTCTGTTATTAACATCATGTGCACCTTCATGGGAGAGTAGGAAGTAGGATTTATATGATATCGATTTCGGTGAAGTATTCAGATGTTTAGTTCTCCACGCGGCGAGTGCGTGAATACTTGAGTATTAGGCCTTTAAAAAATTATGAGATAGACAATAGGATAGCACTTCCTTGAGTTTCGGAATATGGCTCCGCCTCGTAGGATTGACGTTTGTTGAAATATCGCACTTACCAACCAAAAATCTGAGAACGTGTAATATCTGCTTTGGTGTCGCCTGGGGGTTGTTGTTTTTTTCCGTTCTTTTCCTTTTATGTCTTTTTGATACGCTATGACAAAGTTTAACTCTTCTTTTTTAAAGTGACAAACAGCAAAGTGTTGTGTTCGCTTGCACGTGTTGGCTGTTGGCATAGACGCTGCTCTGTGACAACATTGGATGAATGACATACACCTTTGTGTTATCTCTATGTCGGAACGATGTTTCTTCTTTCGCTCGTCAGCATTTTATTTGTCTTTTTATTTCGTCGTCTTTTTTTTGGGTCTTTTTTTTGGGTTATACACACTAATAATTTCTCTGGTATCTAAATTGATGCTAACTTCTAAACGATATACATTGTATATTGAATGCCACAGTTTTGTTCTGAGCACATCTGACTAAGTGGGAGCACTATCGTTGGTAACATCACTTGCTTGCTTAACCATTTCCCCCTATACGAGCACATTAAACATGCTTTCCTCTCAGGCCTGTGTGAGTGTCATCTGTGTGTCATTTGCGTGTCATCTGTGTCCTTACGTTTATATTATCATGTTGGGTTGGAATGAAACTTGGATGCTTTTTTTTTCATTCTGAAAAGTGCATCCTCCTTCTTTTCTTTCTCCTCACAGGGATACTGATGTACATGATGGGACCTTGTGGTGATTATCTCTCTTGCTTCGGTTACCTTGTACTCTTTCGCTTCGTTTACTTTGTACTTCTTCCCACAATTAATTAATTATTATAAAACATCAAATCTCGAGTCGCGTGGTAGTAAGATTCTTATGTTTACTACAAATTTAACTATTTCAGTCGTCAAAACCACCACGTCGTGCCCTCTATAATTTAAGTTGAAGTATACTGTTTGACCTAATTTTCTTTCGGTTGCCCGAGGTAATCTGCTTTAGTAAGTTTAGTCTTGCTGCATCTTGGTTGAATCGGTTTTCTCTTCTTTTGTCATAATTTTTTTAGGCACACTGCAACCCTGATTGATTGCCCAGTGCATGTCGTGACAGTGTCAATGTAGTGTGTGTGTGTGTATACTACACTATGTCTTAGATTTTACTTCTGTGTTGTTGTTCAACTCTAGAAACACTCACCAGCTACGTAACAATGCACGGACGATAATTTCCCTGTATTATAAAGTACCGTGTTTTACGTTGGGTTAATATACTGGCATGCTATATTTAATCACCGTCATAGTGTTTTTTAAACAGTCTGTGATTAATTTATTTATTTTTTTTGGTTTCAGTATGCTTCAATGCTGTCCAGTCACACTCTCCAAAGTTTTCATAATTCCTCCACAGTTAACGTGGCTACCAGTTCTGCTAGAAAAATACTTTTTGTCAGAGAAACAAAAAAAAGAGACAACGAGGAGAGCATGCATTAAAAAAGAGAACACACCATGTAATGGAACTGTATTCACCCCATAAGGATAACGGTTTTTACCTAATCACTAATTAATTGTTGTTATTTGTTCACTTTTTAAGTGAGTAGTTTGTCTTTGTTGGTTTGTTTGTTGTTGTTTTTAGGGGGTTGGGTGGAGGAGTGGGAGATGTAGGGGGAGGGGGAGGGGGGTTCCATGATAATCCTTGTTGGCTTCACAATTTTTAACAACCAGAGCAATGGTTGTAACAGAAGAAGACGTGAAGCTCTCACAAGATTGAATAAGGCTGCTCCTGTAATGTCATCTATGGAGGTTTAGAAACTACATTGTAAAAACCATTGGCCCTGACCAGGGTGGAGATTTACTTGTACCAACAAAGGATAGATAAGAATGAAATTATACGCTTTGCTGCGATAAAGTTCCAGTATACTGGAGATTCCCTTGGATGAGTAGATACGTCTTAACATAAAGTAGTGGGTTTCATCATCTTCTTTAAAAAATTAAATATGATATTCGAGCTGATCTGAGGAGCAATGCGTTGAATTCTATCTTTAACTCTGCGGAGGTATAACTTCCAAAAGACTAGAGTTCAAACGGTTTTCTGTAACTTTGGTAAACACAGTAAACAGAAATGAATTTTTTTGTTTGTTTTATCTCTAGCTTATGTTTATAAGAAAACAAACAAGATTGCAACTGAAATGCCACTAGATCTAGGTCAACAAGTAGTATTAAATATTTAATATGTTAAATAAGCCTGTCTGCACCTCAACGTATCCATTAATCTATCTATCTATCTATCTATCTATCTATCTATCTATCTATCTAACTATCTATCTATCTATCTATCTATCTATCTATCTATCTACCTACCTACCTACCTACCTACCTACCTACCTACCTACCTACCTACCTATCTATCTATCTATCTACCTACCTACCTACCTACCTATCTATCTATCTATCTATCTATCTATCTATCTATCTATCTAACTCACACACACACATACACACATAGACACACACTCTCTCTCCCTCCTTCTCGACCCTCTGTCTCTCTCTCCCTCTGTCTCTCTCTCTCTCTCTC